CGAAACATCGTTACTTTGCTCTTTGACAATGTTATTGTGGACCCGCTGCCGAGCAGGTGTCCGAGAATCGTTGTTTACAATAACATTGCGAAAAATAGTTCATAAATTTAATTCTGCTGATAATATATGATAAATTGAAATTTAATAAGTGTTTTCAGACATTGTGAAATGTGATAGAATCTGTGTACTTCGGACGACTGTATAATTCGGACTTTTTAGTCGGTCCCAAGCTGGTCCGTGCACTGTATGTAAAAGTGTATCGCGGTATGCCGGTATACAGTGTAGTGTACTCTATTGGCATGGGCTACTGGGGGCGTAATTCATTGCTAAATCACGACGGGATACCTATTGCCGTGTGTTCATAAATAATACCTTTGATTAACAGTAATGTCGCAGTGCTTGATCACGTATGGAATCTACCATGGTCCTGCAATTAAAAGATGCTGTTACGCCAGCTAATTACGTTTTCCATGTACAACAAAATTCAATTTACAGTTTCCAGGCTTGTACAATAGGACAATTCTGTTACCACGTCAAACGGTGAGCCACGGGAACACATTCAACTTAACAATGGTCAATACGTCAATACTTCGTGCATATTCATGTGATGATCCTGACAGTTGTAGCAGCTACCCCAGGAGATCATGTTAACTGGTTGCTGTTCTCGCGTAGGTTTCACTGATCAATCTGTATATATATTGACAATCACTAGAACAGTCGCTTGTATGACGGTATACAGAAGAATAGCCGTCTCCTAGCTTGTTTAAATGTGAGGCAAGTTTACGTCCAGTTGAAGTTGGTGACTGGTGATTCATCAATGGGAGGGTTAAAGAGGGTTAAATCAAATTTTCACACCAAAATGTCAATTTTGATTTAATTCCAATAGCCACTGTGTGAATGATTGCGGGTTCATCAATGGCTGATGGTTGAAACCATGTCCCGGTCATATCCAACATATCCAAGTTGTGATCATATCACAAGATCAGGAAGGGCTTCGGGGTTGAATATTCCTGAATATATACAGATAAATTGAAGCGACAAAACCCTTTCCACATTCATAAAATCTCTGCCAAAAGGACAAATTATACCCCTGCTTATATAGTATTTAACAGAAAAATGTCATGTGGTGTGAGTATTCTTATGCCTCCCCTAGTAACAACATATTAATATCTACTATATTTAAGCAACAAAACACACACACACACACACACACACACACACACACACACACACACACACACACACACACACACACACACACACACACACGTGTATATACTGTAAATACACTTCTAAAGATTCTATCTAATGTCAGACTATTACAATTCTTGAAACATAACATTGCTTGGGGTATTATTGTCTCTGGATACTTGATATGATCTGCCCTTTAGCTGCTTCATGATAACATACAAGGTACATTAACGCACTCAGCAATCCTGTCAGTATTATTCTTGTTATTCGTCCTGAATCAGTGGCAGATGAAGGTCACGCTCTTTTGTCTGCAAGTAAAGCGTCAGTTGGTTGAACTAGATCGTTGCTTGTTCAGGAACAACATTCGAGATACTAGATATTTACACTACACTGACTGACTGAGTTTGGTTTTACGCCGCTTTTAGCAATATTCCAGCAATATCACGGCGGGGGACTCCAGAAATGGGCTTCACACATTGTACCCATGTGGGGATTCGAACCTGGGTCTTCGGCGTGACGAGCCAACGCTTTAACCACTAGGCTACCCCACCACCCTATTTACACTACAATTACAATAGCATCTATAATCAAGACAACATGTAGGAAGGCGTTTCCTATTCTCGCGGTACTTACGGATATCGGATGAAAAAATAACACAAACAATTCTTATTGTATGCATGCTTGTTGTTTTTAAATGAAGGGCCTTCTCCTCTATCATCAACATCTATCAGCTTCCAGATCCATCAGGTGAATTACCACTCGTGAGCCCGGTGATAAACAATGCCATCCGCCATTGACGAAACGAGGCTTCTCCCATTCTCGCTTTATTACCAGGAATTAACGTTATTGGGTGTATGTAAGAGCAATCCTGCCGGAAAGGGCGGAAAAAGTAATGATATGCCCAAGTTGGTATAAAATCCCCAATATTCGTGACACTGCAAAATTTTGATTACTCACAGACTTGGGCCACTTCCTATAGTTACCAGTCGGTGATGTAAACAACCGGTAAGTGTCGCGCAGCGGCGATTTCGGCAGAAAACGTGTTTACCGCGAGAATAGTAAACCAGCGAGAATAGCATTGCAGAATGAATAATTACACCAGAGTAAGGAGCCACTTCACACACGCACGCACAGACACACTCACACACACACGCACACACATACGTACTTATATACCCAAAATACACCCCTGACGGTTCTATCCAATGTAAGACTATTACAATTCTTTGCAATGAAAAAGATCCCATATATTTCAATATAAGTGGGGCAAGCGCAGGAGATCTTTTCTCACCTTACATCAGGACCAGCAGTCAGTGATGATCGTTATTTTCACCAGCCTAACCTCTTGCTGCAAAGTAACTATTATCACCATTGATGTTCCACTGTCAATATATTTTGTACTGCTGTTGCATTTGCACTGCTACTCTATTTTGTACCGTTCTAATTGATTTGCAATAACTTGAAGTGATTTGATTTGTAACCTGCCTCAGTTTATATTACACTTGTTAATTGTATAACATTTCTTTGTTGTTTGTTTCACGCTACATTCGTTTGCGTTTACTTAAATCAAATCATCAAACAATATATGCGTACTATTTATGAAAACGTTTAATGTGGCAATATAATAAGAATGAACGTTAAAAGAATGAAACGACGTACATGGAACAAATCTCTCCTCTTTATTAATAGTGTCTCGTAACACAGAGATAACATTATAATCTAATCTAATCTATAATCTACATTAATCTCTAATTTCTGTATACCATCGAAATAATGTGTGACAATACAAGAAGACCAAGTTGTCATTCAAATCTATTTATACAATTTTCAGAGTCTACTGTTTTGCCATATGTACTGTAAGGAATCTGTTTCTAGGGATGGTCAAGTCGTTTGGTTTTTTTAATATATAATTTTGCGTTGACGATTTGTTTAAATGCTTGACGGATCCAAGAGTTCTGACTGAGCCTTCATCCGTGTTGGGCATTGGTGGCTCCACAGTTAAACGTCAGTCGTTACGTTGAGGTAACGTTGAGGTTACATTGCCCAATATATAGGCGTAACTAACTTCCCAATTGTCCGACATGTGGCTATCAAACCTATGTCACCACACTTGTTCGAAGTGGGGCAAGCGCAGGAAATTATATCTCACGTTACATCAGCTTTTGTGACTGGAGCGCCAGTCGAACATTCAACATTAAAATGAATATAATTCACTGTCTTAAGGGCGTGTTTTTTCAGTACAAGAAATCTGTGTTTTTTCTTTAACGCAAGGAATATATACTACACATCAAAAGTTTAGACTCACTTAATGCACTCACTATATGCACTCGCTAGTTTAGAACCGTAAACGGTTTGCACCTCTGGCGAGGCCTGGAAACCCCATATCTCAGCTCCATGCAACAACGTTGGTAACATCTGAATGTCAAATATGCTCAAAAATCGAGTCTGAACTAAACAATCCAGTGATCAACAGCATAAGCATCGATCTACGCAATTGGGAACCGATGGCATATGTCATCATAGTAAACGAGCCTGACAACCGGATCCCATTAGTCGCCTTTTAGGACAAGCATGGGTTACTGAAGATCAATTCTGACCCGGATCTTAACGGGTCCTATGTCTGGAAGTACAGTTGCAGCTTTAAAACTTTTCTTGACGTCATGGAAGAAGACATGTTTTGTCATTTTCAGACAATAGTTTTACCGACAGGATTTTAAATATCGATTCTAGCCTGTGTTTTAAAACAAGCTTTATCTGCTAATTAAACCTATGCTCGGAATGATACAGAACAAATGAATGTAGTGTATGTCAGTATATTTCGATCAGATATGTAATGAGACACACTGGCGGATACGTTCTAATTATTTGTGCGGCGCGTGTTTCAATTCGTTTAGGATAAAATGGGTTTGTTTGTACAGATGTGTGGCCGTTCTCTCTGTGTTATGACGACATAACCAAATCTCCAAAGTTTCACATGATTATAAAAACCCATCAAAACAACGTCACTTTCGACAAAGTAAAATTATCGCAAAGCCCGACGTTGATTGACAGCTGTACGTGTAGCCATTTATATTGTTTGATTTTTTAATACCTTACGACAGTTTCCGATTGTTTTCAATTTTCGCTCTTGAAAGCAGTTCAATGACTTTTGTAAAAATCATTTACTGATTTCACAATTAAGTCCAATACAGTAAAATCTGTTTGTCTCAACAAGTATAAAAAAACCCATTAAGCGCGTAACGTCTTAAGTCATTTCCAAAATGTTATAAGGATTTATAAATACAAACTCGTTTTATATTTTACCCCTGCTAGACATGATAAACATATGAACGGATTTCTTAAAGGCTACGTACTAATTAGTAACCCAGTCCCGGAATACCAGTTCTAACCTGGACCGTCTAACCAATTCTAGCACGGCATATTATCTATTAACACCAACATGGATATTATATGGAAGTCCAAACATATTCGACAATGTTTATTATGCTTAAAATATACTGATGCCAATAATGGTTGTCGACCCCTCCCTACACCCTTCCACCACCCCACACACACACCCTCTCCAATTCAAGACTTTGAAGGGGGTGACAACCATTATTGGCATCGGTATATCTTCATTAGATTCTAGTACATATAATCCATTTTCGGGATATTCTGGTGTGCTTCATAGAGATTTTCGATATTGCCATGGATCAGCTTCACTCTGTTCCTCTGTTCCATACACTATATGTGGAACTGTCATGCCTTCCACATCAAAAGGTGACTAGTGTATTTTGACCAATATTTGTTACATATATATATGTATTTACCTCTCGGAAGTAGGTAGACTCGGGAACCCTGTCGCGCTGTGGCGGGAGGGTAGATCTTGTCAGGGGTGGATAAGGCTGTAGCATGACCTGTACACCCACCAGTGTTCCTGTCTATCTGGACACTGTGGCAGCGACGGTCAAAGAAACACTTACTCACGCATTCCAGTATGAGTAAATCTTGGTTATTCCACATCAGATTCTGATTCACATGCAAGTTATCAAATTCTGGTAATGGCGTGAGCCGGACATTGTCACATTCCACACAAAAGGTACTTGTGAATGAGCGTGATAAACATATAGTGATACAAGTCACAAGAAACACAGCCTTCATATTTTTATGTCCAAACGTTGGTAAAACCAGGTATCCGAAGTATTTACAGAAGTCTGGATGCTGTGTAAACGTCACTTGTTAAAGACACAATGCATCTGAACATCGATTCCGGCAGTACCAATCACTTACAGTTCACACAATCTAAAGAGAAATGACGAGTTACAAGCTCACGAGCAGGTAGGTTTATAAATGCATCAGATCGTGAAGAGAAGAGTCAATAGGACGTCAAGGCTGACGGATGTAGCATCCGTGGGGATAAATGTGCCTTCAGAGGAAGTCGGTCAATACTGTCAATACGAGAACAACAAAGAACCATGTTTAGTCCTATGATATCGTTCCAAAATATTATGGATCAGTGCTGCTATGGCCGCTTTAGAGAAGTTGATTCTCAACATATTATAGTTAGACTGAAGGGCTAGCATTTGTTGTCAAGCGTTGACACTTTATTCGTTTCCAGAACGGAAACAGGAACATTGACAGGAACAAGTGAACGTCATATGCTTAACCTAAAGACATGTGTCGGAATTTATTGCAACGTACATGGTGTGTGTGTGTGTGTGTGTGTGTGTGTGTGTGTGTGGGCTACTGGGGCGTAATTCATTGCTAAATCACGAGACGGGATACCTATTGTCGTGTGTACATAAATAATACCTTTGATTAACAGTAATGTCGCAGTGCTTGATCACGTATGGAATCTACCATGGTCCTGCAATTAAAAAAGATGCTGTTACGCCAGCTAATTACGTTTTCCATGTACAACAAAATTCAATTTACAGTTTCCAGGCTTGTACAATAGGACAATTCTGTTACCACGTCAAACGGTGAGCCACGGGAACACATTCAACTTAACAATGGTCAATACGTCAATAGTTCGTGCATATTCATGTGATGATCCTAACAGTCGTAGCAGTTACCCCAGGAGATCATGTTAACTGTTTGCTTTTCTCGCGTAAGTTTCACTGATCAATCTGCATATATATTGGCAAACACTAGAACAGTCGCTTGTATGACGGTATACAGAAAAATAGCCGTCTCCTAGCTTGTTTAAATGTGAGGCAAGTTTACATCCAGTTGAAGTTGGTGACTGGTCATTCACCAATGGGAGGGTTAAAGAGGGTTAAATCAAATTTTCACACCAAAATGTCAATTTTGATTTAATTCCAATAGCCACTGTGTGAATGATTGCGGGTTCATCAATGGCTGATGGTTGAAACCATGTCCCGGTCATATCCAACATATCCAAGTTGTGATCATATCACAAGATCAGGAAGGGCTTCGGGGTTGAATATCCGTGAATATATAAAGATAAATTGAAGCGACAAAACCCTTTCCACATTCATAAAATCTCTGCCAAAAGCACAAATTATGCCCCTGCTTATATAGTATTTAACAGAAAAATGTCATGTGGTGTGAGTATTCTTATGCCTCCCCTAGTAACAACATATTAATATGTACTATATATAAGCAACACACACGACACACACGACACACACGACACACACACACACACACACACACACACACACACACACACACACACACACACACACACACACACACACACACACACACACACACACACACACACACACACACACACACACACACACGTGTGTATATACTGTAAATACACCTCTAAAGGTTCTATCCAATGTAAGACTATTACAATTCTTGAAACACAACATTGCTTGGGGTATTATTGTCTCTGGATACTTGATATGATCTGCCATGTAGCTGCTACATGGTAACATACAAAGTACATTAACGCACTCAGCAATCCTGTCATTATTATTCTTGTTATTCGTCCTGAATCAGTGCCAGATGAAGGTCACGCTCTTTTGTCTGCAAGTAAAGCGTCAGTTGGTTGAACTAGATCGTTGCTTGTTCGGGAACAACATTCGAGATACTAGATATTTACACTACAATTACAGTATCATCTATAATCAAGACAACATGTAGGAAGGCGTTTCCTATTCTCGCGGTACTTACGGATATCGGATGAAAAAATAACACAAACAATTCTTATTGTATGCATGCTTGTTGTGTATAAATGAAGGGCCTTCTCCTCTATCATCAACATCTATCAGCTGCCAGATCCATCAGGTGAATTACCACTCGTGAGCCCGGTGATAAACAATGCCATCCGCCATTGACGAAACGAGGCTTCTCCCATTCTCGCTTTATTACCAGGAATTAACGTTATTGGGTGTATGGAAGAGCAATCCTGCCGGAAAGGGCGGGAAAAGTAATGATATGTCCAAGTTGGTATAAAATCCCCAATATTCGTGACACTGCAAAATTTTGATCACTCACAGACTTGGGCCATTTCCTATAGTTACCAGTCGGTGATGTAAACAACCGGTAAGTGTCGCGCATCTGGCGATTTCGGCGGAAAACGTGTTTACCGCGAGAATAGGAAACCACCGAGAATAGCATTGCAGAATGAATAATTACACCAGAGTAAGGAGCCACTTCACACACGCACGCACAGACACACTCACACACACACGTACACACACACGTACTTATATACCCAAAATACACCCCTGACGGTTCTATCCAATGTAAGACTATTACAATTCTTTGCAATGAAAAAGATCCCATATATTTCAATATAAGTGGGGCAAGCGCAGGAGATCTTTTCTCACCTTACATCAGGATCAGCAGTCAGTGATGATCGTTATTTTCACCAGCCTAACCTCTTGCTGCAAAGTAACTATTATCACCATTGATGTTCCACTGTCAATATATTTTGTACTGCTGTTGCATTTGCACTGCTACTCTATTTTGTACCGTTCTAATTGATTTGCAATAACTTGAAGTGATTTGATTTGTAGCCTGCCTCAGTTTATATTACACTTGTTAATTGTATAACATTTCTTTGTTGTTTGTTTCACGCTACATTCGTTTGCGTTTACTTAAATTAAATCATCAAACAATATATGCGTACTATTTATGAAAACGTTTAATGTGGCAATATAATAAGAATGAACGTTAAAAGTATGAAACGACGTACATGGAACAAATCTCTCCTCTTTATTAATTGTGTCTCGTAACACAGAGATAACATTATAATCTAATCTAATCTATAATCTACATTAATCTCTAATTTCTGTATACCATCGAAATAATGTGTGACAATACAAGAAGACCAAGTTGTGATTCAAATCTATTTATACAATATTCAGAGTCTACTATTTTTGCCATATGTACTGTAAGGAATCTGTTTCTGGGGATGGTCAAGTCGTTTGGGGTTTTTTATATATAATTTTGCGCTGACGGTTTGTTTAAATGCTTGACGGATCCAAGAGTTCTGACTGAGCCTTCATCCGTGTTGGGCATTGGTGGCTCCACAGTTAAACGTCAGTCGTTACGTTGAGGTAACGTTGAGATTACATTGCCCAATATATAGGCGTAACTAACTTCCCAATTGTCCGACATGTGGCTATCAAACCTATGTCACCACACTTGTTCGAAGTGGGGCAAGCGCAGGAAATTATATCTCACGTTACATCATGACCCTTCTGTCACAGTTGGTTATGTTGAAGGCTGCAGTGTTGGGGAGTGTATATATTCTCCGGAAAGTTCTTGGTGGGTTCGACCAGGCAGCGTTTCCTGGGAGAAGTCCCATTCGCTGTCTGGGTTGCGTGTAGAGGGGGTATTGACCCTGAGCTGATGATGAGCTTTACCAGCCCGATACTGCCATGATCACCCAAACCTTCTCTGTTGCATTTTCATCTTAATCTGTAAAACATGATAATAATATTGCACCTAAAATTATAATTATAAGAGCAAGTATTCACCGTGGTTTAACGATGGCATTCGAAAGATCGCTAAGAGTGAGTGAGTTAAATCAGATTGGGTAATGATGTCTTTCAGTGGCATTTAGAAGTTGTACATGAGGGAAATAAATAAGAAGTTTAATCCATAAAACATATCTTGAAGATTGGGTAATGTTCAGAGAATTGGGAAATACAGCATATTCTGCTTTCTACCAAAAGAATGATTGACTTGATTCCGTAATGGGGCCGCCGGCCATTATACAATAAGGCTCTATACATAGCATAGCTTTTGTGACGGGAGCGCCAGTCGAACATTCAACATTAAAATGAATATAAGTCACAGTCTTCAGGGCGTGTTTTTTCAGTACAAGAAATCTGTGTTTTTTCTTTAACGCAAGGAATATATACTACACATCAAAAGTTTAGACTCACTTAACGCACTCACTATATGCACTCGCTAGTTTAGAACCGTAAAAGGTTTGCACCTCTGGCGAGGCCTGGAAGCCCCATATCTCAGCTCCTAGCAACAACGTTGGTAACATCTTAATGTCAAATATGCTCAAAAGGACGCGTGAAATTAATTTATCAAAGTGAGATCTTTTTGTTTCAAGGCATTGTAGTAGTTTATTTGCTTGAAGGACTAATATTTTCAAGGTTCGATACCACGATCTTCAGCACGATACCCAAGTATATGTGGTAACCACTCTAATTCTCGCCTTTATTAAAGGATTGATATTTTCTGACACGACCACCGTTTCTGAAAAAAACAATTATTTTACTTTTAACTGCCAAAGTGACAACTTGATTACTCGTCTCCGTAGACACACAACCGTAATATCAAACATATGCATCATCAGCAAATAACAATACTAATAGGTAAATGAACCCAAACTTAATAGACCATTGGCCGTCCTCACACAAAAACATAACTATGTCATTGATTTAAAAGGAGAATAGAGAGGGACCTGTAGTGACCGCTAATCTCACTTGCCTGCTCCACGAATCGTTTACAATTCCATATTCGCCTCTAATTCCATATTCCCCTCAAAATTCCGGTTTTCGCTATACGGGAGGAAACATCATTAATACACAAGAAAGGACATACTAATGACTAAACCAATTACATGCTGTTGGTCTAAGGCCTTCAAAGAATGTGTATTCAAATATTGATTTAATTACCTCAGAGATAATGATTTTCTATTTAACTTCCAACAAGTTTTTAGGCATGTTGTCTCTACCGCTAATCAGTTCATTAGCTTATTCAAGTAACACTGTATGCTTTAGATCACGGAAATGAGATCTGGACCACCGTATTCAGGGACTTAAGTAAGTTTGATACAGTTTGACATACCGGGTCTGCTATTCAAACTACAAAAATATGGAAATACAACATTCTCAAATAAATGAGTTCTAAATAGAACACGCCCCTGCCATAGATCGCATA